CCATCCGTACGCTCTGGGGTCATTTTGTACCCCCGGGGTTGTATTCTTCACATATTAGAATACTTCTAGTGCGAAGATCTCTTTGAAACTTTTAAGAAGTAGAAAATGTCCCGTCAGCAAACAAAAGAGAACAAAGGCACTAAAAACACAAAATCATCCATACATCTAAATAGTACTTACATTCAAACTTGTGAGACAAGGCCTGCTCCAAAATGGCAGCTTGTTCTTTCTGCCTCTTCTGGGATTCCATTTGGATTTTCAGTTTCTTTTTAGGAGGCAGGTTTGATAGATTGACGTCTGCAATGCTTTTGGAGACTTTCTTCTCCCACTCAGCATAGTTCTGCTCAAGCTTTAGGAGCTGGAGTTTCACATCCTGAAATGTGTGTGTGTGTGTGTGTGTGTGTGTGTGTGTGTGTGTGTGTGTGTGTGTGTGTGTGGTGGTGGTGGGGGGGGGGGGGGGGGGGTTTCCATCATCAAAAAAACTTGCATAAAATAAAATTGTTATACTGAAGATTGACAGTAAATGCAGCCAATATATAAAAAGGATAGTGGAAATATGTCACAAAAAAGTTGCAAGATTTCAGAAACAAAAAATCTTTTGAAAAACATCTTGCATAAGCACACACAAAAAAAGAGTTCGTTAGGATGTGTAAAAGTTAATAACAATTTTTGCCAGTTCTCCCCAGTTTTAGAATATACTAAACCTATCCGTACGTCGTGTTCTACTTTCATATCTATACAACGTGGGGAAATCTGTGCCACCTCTTTCCAAAGAGGAATTTACTCGTTAATCCGATCCGTTCGCTTTGCATAGCAATCTGTCAAAATGATTTTTTTAGAAATACTGAAAGTTTCAAAGAGATCTTCGTACTAGAAGTATTCTAAAATGTGAAGAATACCACCCCGGGGGTACAAAATGACCCCAGGGTGTACGGATAGGGTTAAGTGGGTTTTATTATAGACATTATAGACAAACACAGCCCTGATCACATTAGTGCAAAATTTTCAATTAAAAATGTGATATTTTTTTAAAGTAAAACTTTTGACAAAGTAACATTATTGCCCATGTTGTTACCCACAAAAAAAACCCCACCTAGTAAATGGTTCAAACACTTAACGATTTACACTCCTTTTAGATATGAATGGTCACTCCAACCAATAATACGACATAGTGAAAGACTTCAGGGTGCCACTAAGGGTAAGAAGTTATCTAATTGGTAAAAACTGAAACCGTTCAACTGATCTGGGTTCAAATCTTTATTGAATTGTTTCTGATATAAGGTAAGTTTAAAAAAAAAGATTTGGAGGCTCATCATCCCTTCCTGCTAAAGATGAATATTGTTTCAGAGATGCCTTATCATAATTTACCTTTTATTGTGTTGAAACAAGCCCAAAACCGAAGGGCAAGCCAAAAAATGTATAACTCACCTCATCTGACATTTTAGCAAATTGCTTTCCCTTGTCCTTGTTGTGTTCATACTTTGAGACCAAGGTCATCAACATGTCACGTTCATCTCCTTGATGCTTCTCCATGCCTGCAAGAATACTGTCCTGAAGGAACACAGTCTCTGGAAAAGAAATTAATGTGGTATTTAGTCAACCCAATATGTTGAGATAACATCTGTATTTCTTTATACCTCTACAGTCTGTATGCCTATCTTTGCGGCACAGGTGAGTGCAAACTTGACTTATAATGAGGAAGGCGTAGTGACGTAATACTTCTCTCACTTCCACTTTGCTTCAAACCCAAATGGTTACTCAAGAATCATGCCTAAAAAGAAAGTATGCAGTCATTGTTAATAATACAATAACAATAACATAATGGTGTGAACTTATATAGCGCCTATTTCCTTCCTAATAACATTTCATGAGAGTCAAAACAAAGCATACATTGCTTTTTTGATGCAGCAAAGAGTTTGTTCCAAAGAAACTTACCATTTGTGATATCAGAGGATACACCTGGTTCGTCATCAGTGGCTGGTGTTTTGTCTTTATTCTTGTCAGCTCGCTGCTTCTTCAGGGCCTCAATCCTGTCTCTGGCTATCTGCCGCTGTCTGTCCCTCTCACTGAGAAGGCTGGAAGGTCAAGCACAAACGTTGACTTTTGTGATCAGGAAGGTGTATTAGCTATCATGACTTTTAGAAAAGCAAGGTTAAACTTTAGTTGTAGTTTTAGTAAGAGTTTTACAGCACTTGCAACACAGTCAGGTCATATAATTGCCGAAGATTAGAAGTGATACAAGAGAGTAAGAAACACAAAAAAGGAGGAGAGATAAGGACGACTGATGTTTGATAGGATAGAAGGAGCAAACCACACCAGAGCACCCGCCAACCATCCGCAGTTAAACTTTAGGGAAAACATAGTTGAACTTTACAGCGCAATAAAATCTTCAAAGGAAATACAGTTAAAATTGTTCACGATTTCTATAGTGCATTAAAAAAGTAGTTGTCTTAGGCAGGTGGTTCTCTTGGACACTACTATTATAATATAGTAAACAAGCAAAGAAGAGAAGAGGGAAGTGCTCGTTTGTTTAGGCGGTTGTTTTGGTCAGGTCATTGTTGGAGCAAATTTGACTGTATCAGTAGGTGCTTGATTTCACCAATATTCCCAAATACAAATGATAAACATTTCTTAAAATTTAAATCCAGGAGCAATACTTTCAAACTGATGATATAAAAATTCTCAAATAACCTCCTTGACTCACTTCTGCTCAACAGTTTTATCCGTTTCCTTCCACAAGGCCATTAAGTTCGCCGCTGACTCAAACTTTTCTTCTTGTTTGATTCTCCGCTCCTCACGCTGCAAATATAAAGTGACACAATTTGAAACAGTGAACAGCTACTACATTAAGGAGATGGTCCAGCAAATTCATTAGACAATGACTTCTTGAAATTATTTTTGCCAAATCTGTCCTTACACAACAAATTTTCTCTGAAAATGCAATGTTATTAGAAACACTAAGTTCTTCTCGTGTGCATTATTGCACATTCTGCTTAGGAATGTTTCTGAAATTGGAAATACGAAGCTCAAAATAAACATTACAAAAAATGCATACAAGTAAAGAAAATCTTACAATTATCAAGACTTTTTTATTTCAAAAGAAAGGAATACAAGACCATTTTATTTGCCTCTAATGAAAAATTTGGTGCCCAATGGCATTCTATTTTCAACCACAGCATTCAGAATACATTAGTCAAAGAACTGTTTATGCACTACACAAAATTTCAGACACAAACCACAACTGCAGGTCACCGCGGTGCAAGGCCTTTGTGAGTAAGGACAAAAATGTCTCCAAAGACGAATCAGTTGTCAAATATCCAAAAGAAGTCTTGGCTGTGAGGTTTTTTTGTGGCATTTGCACATTTCACAAACAGAATTTACACACCACTTACCACCGCAGCACTCACCCTCACCTCACCCCATCTCCTCCATCCCCCTCTCCCCACCACCCAGAAAATATCCTTTCAAGCACAAATAAATGAAGGAATATTTGGTCACTTTTAAGCACAAAGGGGCTATCCCGAAAAATGCTGTTTTGAGAAAATCGAAAATAAAGTTTTTGCCCCTTGTTCAGTTTCTTTAAAAGTCGAGGAGATTTTTCTCTGTAACCAAACAAATATACACACTAATGAAACCAAACTTCTCCTATAGGTAGGGCAATGCCCACTTTCGGTGTAGGTCAAGATTTCTGGAAACCCCCAAAATCTGGGTTAGCTCGCTTGTCCTTAAAAGCGACCATTTTACCTGTAACTTAGGTAAGGCAAGCTGTCTCTCTTTCAATGACCACTCATCATCACAGCACCCCC